GCGATTTGAGTGTGAAAGATACGTGCTGATATTTGTTTTTTTAAATGAAAAATGATTTTGTCTGATGCCATTTCATAGACAACAGACACCTGAAGAATGCTAGAAATAGACTGACAGTAACGTTTTATTTGCAAGAAGAATAATAAAACAAGAATACTGGTCCAAAGTATTCATGGAATCATGACTATACTTAATTTCTGAACCTCCGACAATATACGATAATGATAACAAATGAGTATTGTCTAATGACTGTGTGTTCATTGCAATAAATATAAAACTACATAGACAAGTCTAACAGACACAATAAATGACAGTACGAAAATAAAAAAAAAGCAGGGAACTGGGTGGGCTGAGACGTAATTAATCATTAGGAGGTCACAAAAAAAAAAAACAGAACGAAAATTGCTATTTGTCTTTTAAAGTTTCATCTCAAGACCGGAGCATCATGCAGGTGTTCTATAAATACACAAAACGACTTACTTGTGGGGATTAGGCTCTAGAGTTGATGAGGATAAATATTGATCTTTTTTTTTCTTTTTCAAAGAAGAAAAATGACCATATTTCTTTGTTCAGCAATAAATTAAATGTTCATGTCTATTATTTTAATATTTGATATGTGAGAAATATATTTCAGATGTGAATTGTATTATTGCGGAAATTAGTTGTGGTGGATATCGCACTACTTCTTGTCCGCGTCCAGTTTTTATCCAGTAATCTCTAAACGGTCGCAGGTGAAAATCCATATGAGTCATAAAACGCTAAAAATTGTTCCGATTTGTTCTCAAAAGTGTTGGGTAATTTGAGGTACTGATGAAATAAAATAGTATCCATTGCGTGTTAATTCAAGATATGTATGAAACGTGTGACAAAATACTGAAACCACCCACAAAAGCTCATAATCCAATACACGCATATATATATATATATATATATATATATATATATATATATATATATATTAATTATTTATTTAGAAATATGATTTCAACACGCTACATAAGAGTTCTCATGTTTCAAAACAAGAGCCGAAAATTTCAATATAATTATTTGAATTAAATTGAATTAAAGTACTAAGCTCTGTTCCATCTTCAAGGGAAAGTTTTTTTGAAATAACTTATTTCTGAGGTTTACGCGTTTTATAAGCATATTCATTATTGAAATGAAAATTTCTATGGTAAAGCTAGAGCAATTGTTTAAAAAAAATGGGCGTAAAGGTTAATAATTTGTATCAATATCTCAGTTACATTCACAGATGTCAAGTCAGGGTAAGGTTGGGGTGTCTAAATTTAAAGCGGAAGATGACATCGTCTAGTCTGGTTAAGCGTCTATGGAGATTTATTTATTTTTTTATTTTTTCTGAAAGAGTTTTGTGTATATAACTGTCGTAAATCGCTAACATTTGTTTTTTTGACGACTTCATAAAGGGTTATCTTTTTTTGCAGGGCATTTAAACTATTAGAACCATGGAATTTAAAAATTATTTTATTGTTCCTATATATATATATATATATATATATATATATACTATACTATACTATACTATGTGTATCAATATTTCAGATAAGTGTGGATGGTTCTGCACAAGCATTCACCTCTTTAATCAAATCACTTGTGTGGGTTTTCTGACGGTTTATCTTGGCAGATCCTCATACGTCGAAACCGACAGGAGAGTCCATTGTTTATATATATATATATATATATATATATATATATATATATATATATATATATATATATACCGGTGTAACAGGAAAATTGTACAAATGTTAGATTAAGTCTGAACCGTTGTATCATTGTATCTTAGAAATGATTAAAGATATCTTACTGGAATTCTCTACTAGAATCTACTTTGAACAATAAGAATGTATTTAGCTCTAAGTTGAAATGATGCTCCCCTTTGTTGTGACTTCCTAGTTCAGTTTTCCTTTCTGTTGCTCCTTCTTTTTTTAAAAAACCGTTCTCTTGATGGTTCCTGAAAGGTCTTTGAAGATGAAAGCTAGCGTATGAATGTTGATACAATTACTGAAGGCCTGAATGGTCCTATTCCTCTGACCATTGCTTATTTGGAAGACATAGAGGGCTGACACAAAACGATTTTAACCTGTTCACTTTCTAGCTGAATGGTATGTGTTATGAATGAGAGAGCTGGTAAGAAGGGGAGATTATTAAGATAAGGAGCAAGGATAACGATTGACCTTTGACATGCACAAGTTCCGTTTGTTGTAAAATGTATCATGGGATGAGAAAAGCTGAATGAAACTGTTTTCTTACCTTTGGAACTTGGGGGAAATCAGGGTGATTCGACTCCGTTGTGTATGAAGCTCAGTTAAACATTTGCTACTTGTAAAGAACGATAGGTCTGAAATGTTGTGTCTGTGGCTAAGAAGCCGTGCAGTGAAGAATGTCCGAAGACCGCGTTAAAGGCTTTGAAGTTTATCAAGGCTGAAAGGTGAGGATTTAGCAACTTAGGTATTTTGTTTAATCCATATTTTGTTTAATCCGACTCTTGTAAATAAAAAGGAAAGCTCTCCTATAACTTAAAATGTATGGATTTATAGCACCCGTTGGTAGTGTCGGATAAAGGGTTCATTTGTTTTTTAATCAATGCTGGAATGCGCTAGTAATATGGTTTCCCTTAGATGTTTTGGTGGGAGGGATTCCATTAAATTTACAGTTATGAAGTCAATTTCATAACTAATGGGACTGAAAAATCGTGTTCGGTTGACTAATATCTGTTTAGTTTAAAGTACAACAAAAACTCTGCAATTACTGTATTCGCGCAGAATTATTTCTTATATTTTATCAGACTAGTGTCACTAACTAATAAGGATATTGTTTCATATTTTTATTCAGGCGATATCTAAAATTAATTCGAGGTACCAGTATTCAGTTGTCCGATTATTCGATAGATAGATAGATAGATAGATAGATAGATCGATAGATAGATAGATAGATAGATAGATAGATAGATAGATAGATAGATAGATAGATAATATAATGAATTACATAGATAGATAGATAGATAGATAGATAGATAGAGATAGATAGATAGATATAATAGATAATGATAATGAATTAATATAGATAAATAGATAATATAATAGATAATATAAGATAGATAGATAGATAGATAGATAGATAATATAATGAATTACATAGATAGATAGATAGATAGATAGATAATATAATGAATTACATAGATAGATAGATAGATAGATAGATAGATAGATAGATAGATAGATAGATAATATAATGAATTACATACATAGATAATATAATGAATTAGATAGATAGATAGATAGATAGATAGATAGATAGATAATATAATGAATTACATACATAGATAATATAATGAATTACATAGATAGATAGATAGATAGATAGATAGATAGATAGATAGATAGATAGATAATATAATGAATCACATAGATAGATAGATAGATAGATAGATAGATAGATAGATAGATAGATAGATAGATAATGAAGAAATTGTTCTAGCTCTATAGATAAAATAACAATAAAAGGACAATACGGAGTCGAAAGAAACAAAAGAAATCAAATGGAATGAAAGAAGAAGTGAGAGAAATATATATATATATATATATATATATATATATATATATATATATATATATATATATATATAACATATATAATATGTATAACAGCTCAGTTTCCATGTTATCTTCTTGAACGTTTCCTTTAAGTTGGAAAAGGTTTAAGAATCTCACTGAATGAGACGAAGTGCACAAACCAATGTTTTTGTTAAGTACTACATTTACTCTTTTGTGGAAAGCTGTTCGCACCGAAGACACTTTATAATCGGCTAAAACTGATAACGGCTTCAATATATAATTTGATTTTGTAAAAACACTCAGTGTTTCTTTTTTTTTCGGGCTGAGTAAGCAAATATTCTCGTGTAAGATAGAAAATCTACAATCACTAAGGTTATCTCTTCCGTTCCATATTCAATAATTATTTTTCTAATTAATTAGAATTTTTTTTTTCAGTTGAATATACAGTGTAACCCGGATATAAGAGAGTTGTCGGGACCGGAGAAGAAGTTTTTTATATCCGGGTTTGGTCCATTTTATATACATTAACACAGGCTCTAATTTGGGACCAAAGGAAATCTATCTTATATCTGGGTTTCTCTTATATCCGGGTTACACTGTATAAAGAAGCGAAATATGTCAAAAATGTCCTGAAAGTAATGCACGCTATTTGTTTTCATGGAACTTAATACTGGACTATTGCTCACCACCCCCAGCATGTCCTGTCAGTATTGGAATGTCCAACCTCTCTTTCCATTTTATGTGTTACAGAAATTTCAAATCTTTTTTTAATTTTCGGGTTTACAGTCACGTCACGTTGAGACGCTAGTTCCTGCACGATCACCGATATTAAGCAACGTCGATCCTGGTCGGTACCAAAATGGGTGACCGCTCAGGGAACACCAGGTGCAGTAAGATGTGCTGGGTGTGTAATAAATAATGGCTCGGAATTGTTAATCAGAGAACCGAGTTCGAATACCAGATAGGTTTGTTATAATCATTTACGCGCAAATACCCTTGAGATTAGTATAAATCTATCTCTTCTCCTCCCAGCTACGGGTTAATTAGTAAGACTTGTATCACTAAATCATTATTATTTGAAACAAACTTTCTTACAATCTAAAAATGTTTTCTGGCTTTGAATGACCTGCAAAAGTTTGGTATACCGTAGAAAACGAAACAATGTATCAATTTCTGATTTTCCTATTATCGTTCTTATTTTCTATGGGTTAAACAGTAAGACTTGTATCTAGAAAAAAATCATTGTTGTCGCCCTAAAATTTGATAATGAAATGTTCATTTGTATAAAGATAAAGACGTAATCTTACTATCTTACAATCTAAAATAGGTTTCGGTTTAGAATAAACCACAAAGTGTTGACAAGCCGTAAAAAATCAAATCAGTCAGTCAACATAATTATATTTTCCTTAAATGACCTTGTGCATGCCGTTGAAACATCAGTTCTCGTATGATCACTGAAGTTAAGTAAGGTTGAGGCTGGTCAGTACTTAGATGGGTAACGAATTGGGAATACCAGGTGCAGTAATTTTGTATGTGTGGGTGGCTCGGAATTGTTAATCTGAGAGCCGAGTTCCAATTCCATTTGGTTTCTTTATCTTGACTTACGCGCAAATACCCTTGGCAAAGGCATGAATCTATCTCTTCTCCCCAGCTATGGATTAATTAGTAATACTTGTATCATTAAAATCTCAAAAACAAATTGCGTAAAAAATACTTGGATTTCGGTTAGAAATAACCCACAGACGTGTTGTTATGCCGCTAAACAAGAACAACCAAGCAAAATTAAATCATCTTAATATTTACATGACATGTCAATGGCATTCCTCGTTATATTTTATTTATTTAATTTGTCTCTCTCTCTCTTTCTCTGTCTCCCTCTGTCTCTTTCTCTGTCTCTCTCTCGTTTTCTCTTTTTCTCTTCTCCCTCTCTCTCTCTCTTTCACTGTCTGTCTCTCTCTTTCTCTGTCCCCTCTGTCCCTCTCTCTCTTTCTCTGTCTCTCTCTCTTTCTGTCCCCTCTCTCTCTCTCTCTGTCACCCTCTCTCTCTTTCTCTGTCCCCTCTCTCTCTCTTTCTCCCCTCTCCTCTCTTCTGTCTCCCCTCTCTCTCTTTCTCTGTCTCCCCTCTCTCTTTCTCTCTCTCTCTCTCTTTCTCTGTCCCCTCTCTCTCTTTCTATCTGTCCCTCTCTCTTTCTCTGTCTCCTTTCTCTTTCTCTGTCTCCCCTCTCTTCTCTGTCTCTCTCTCTGTCCCTCTCTCTCTCTCTCTGTCCCCCTCTCTCTCTTTCTCTGTCTCCCTCTCTCTTTCTCTGTCCCCCTCTCTCTCTTTCTCTGTCACCCTCTCTCTCTTTCTCTGTCTCCCTCTCTTTCTCTGTCTCCCTCTCTGTCTCCCTCACTCTCTCTTTTAGTGCCAGTCTGTTGTAGTTTCTATTTGACTTAAGACTTCCTCGTTGTTCACATATTCTATTTATGATATTTTTACTCATTACGTATCCATGAAATGCTACAAATTTAGAATAACGTCCCAAACTCCGCGCATACTTTCGATACTTATTTATTCATGATTTAATTTATTTATGAAAAGGCAATTTTAAAGAACAAATTAAGGATATTTAAAGAATTTAATTTTTTGAAAATTTTAAAATATACTTTTAATACGTATTTTTTAACGATACATCCTAAGAGAAATCAAATTGATTGAAAATTTAATTTTAAGCTGAATAAAATTATAATCTTGTCAGAAAATAAAACCAAACTATTGTTTTTTCAAATGATTTTTAATTATTTTTTTTATAAAATATTCTGTTTTCTTTTGAAAAAAAAACTGATAATTTTTCAAAGATTTATTTCCATATCCTTCATTACTCATATTTTCATTACAGTACATACTCGAGTATCATGCGACCTTTGAAGACCTAATTTTGAAGCTAATTTAACTATAGTAAATCTATAAATAATTTGGTCAACGGCGTAGCCAGGGCCAGCCATACATATTGTTATATCTCGTACAAGATATAATAAACAAAGTAAACCCGAGTGTGGTTTTCAATAATAATTTTATAATCGGATGTAGGTATGTCAAAATACAGAGACAGAGTCAGGAGTAAGCTAACCTCAATGGTGTTAGTAAACGAAGACCTTCTTTTTGTCGCTCTCCTTACTGTTTCCTGTGGTCGTACTTTATCGGCCACAAGACCGTCCATTATCGTGAATGGGGAAGTTGGGTTATCTCATCACAACACATATGCTAATTTTAAATCTCGTGTATGATGCGACCCCTTTAAATTCACATTATACGCGAGTATATATACGACATCTATTGATCTGGAAAGTTCTGAATATTTGTTTTCCAATCATTATGTGTTACGAATTGAGAAATATAAGTAAAGTTCAAGATTAACAATTAAAAAAATGAATTGGACAAATTTGAATCATTTTCTTCAGGTGGACTTTAGGCGACCTCCTGCGGAGAATGTTGGCACTTTGGCATTTCATCTTCAGCGTTCTATGTACGTAAACGTTATAAGAATTGAGAAATAATAAAATTATTTTTCTTTATTCGACACCTTAATTCGGCATAGTCCTTCTTCATATACGCAACAAATTTCCGTAATTTTTTTTACAATTATTTTGCGCGCAACTTTTATTTTCTTTTAAAATCATCATTCTTTATAAACCTTTTATATACAGTCACTCTTAACAGACATTAGGGAACTCGAACTATGTAATATTTTGACGTCACAGTACACGTTCTAAGAAAAATATTTGAGCAACGTACCACTTAAATATTAATTACAACTGATGTTAAGTATAATTTTCTTTTTTGTTTTCATTTTCTATAAAACCTTGTCGTTGGTCACGGTGTTCAGTCTATGGCATCTTCAATATCTTTCTATAGAACCACATTTCTGATGCTTCAAGTCGCTTCATCTTTGAGGAGATTGTCCAGGCATATCGGAGGACTGATATCGCGTAACAGTCCAGTACCCTTTTCTTCGTTTCTAACGAAGTTTTTTCTGTCTCTGCTTAACTTTTGGAATGCATCTTTGGCCAAATGCGTCTTCAGATCTCAATGTCGCACTTTCCGCCATCTTTTTGAATACTTCCTAAATATCTAAATTTTTGAAATTTGTTTTATTTTATTTTACTTTGACCACATTACCTAAATATCAAAATACCTTTATTATTTTGACGTATTCATTGTATATCTCACACCAATTTGTCTCGCTTTTCTTTACTACCTTGTCTTTCTGAGTTAGCCAATATGGCTAAGTCATCTGTCTATCTAATGTCCACCAAATATAAATCCTCTTCGAAAGCATTTTCTTTTTTTATTTGTTTCGTTTTTCTTCAATCAGAATTAATTGTTTCTGTGTATATAATTATTAGATCTATTGAAAAATTTGACGTTAAAAATCTCCCACTAGTAACAAACATCCAAGTGACGTATTTATATATTAAACACCGCGTGTGTCCGGAAGTTCGGACACTGTGCAAAAGCTCGTTTTATTTTCGTTACTTAGCATCACTCTACGAATAAAGCGCAGTTGTTGCCATTCTTTGACGAGTTCTCCGCAGCTGTCTGTGAATTTCTCTGAGAAATATGTTGCGGATATTGGCTTTATAATCTTAGATACGGTCAGCATTTTTATTAAAGAATTTCATACTTAAATACCAGCAACTCTCTTTAGGCACCTGTTAACACTTGATGCCCGGCACATATGGCGCTTCTTTTTATAGTGTCGTTCACTCAATACAAGTCCCGAGAGCCACTCAAATTAGAGGGTTAAATGTGGCTGTTGTAAGGTTTTTAAGGTTTTAACTTAGCAGTTTTGGGGGAAGAAGCCATCTGAGTGGAACTTTCTCCTCATGGGTGGAAAGAGGATGGTTTGTATGGGTCATAGAAGGTATTACCTGTGAAGGTCTGAACTAGTGGAACTAAGGAATTATATCGTCAAAACCTCTGCCATGAAAATAGCTTTAAAATACCAAGTGGCTAGCAACGTTTCATCTTTGAGAAAGGAGTTGTGGGGTAGGAAATATTTCATCACCCACAAGACTGCAAAATAATTTTGAGCTCTGTCAAACCTGAACAATGAAGACTGGGAAACTCAGAGATGCTGTGGGAGGAATACTCCATTTTTGGTCTGATCTGTTCTCTTGTAAATATAAAGTAGTAACCAGGTACTTTCGATAGAGCTACAAGTAAGCGACCATTTTTCCAACATCATACACGAATGTATGAGTTCAAATTTATATCTGGAGTCAGCTTTAGTCCCGTGGCGAACGCGCGCGTGAGTACAGAAGGAAGAAAGTCTTCGGAAGGCGGACATATTTGTCAACAACAGTTAAATCCGTTTTTTTTCCTGTTGACAGCAGGGTAGCTTGCATGTCTAGATACGGACCTCTCTGCAGGCAACTTACAAATAAGGGTCTTTGTAAGATGCTTCATGCCAATAAAAGCAGAAGTAAAAACCAGCAGTCGGCAGTTGGCAAGACACGGTGTCTCGTGAAGTCGGTCCCGTGGACAATGTTGTTCCTCAAGTTGCTGTGGTTTCCAAGGCAATGATATTTTTGTTACCTCCTGTCTCCTTCCCCTCTCTCCGTATTACTCCCTTAGTTTCTGGGAGAGCAATCGGTTATTAGTTTCCTCCTAATCTCAACAGATTCATTGCTTACCTTACAACAAATCATAATAGATATAAATACTAAGCAGCCTCGCTGAGAGTACAACTGTTCGTCAAGACTCAAGTATCTTTAGCGTCTACTCGGTAGTGATGAATCTTTACCAGCTTTGTTTTGTTGATATTGAATGATACAATCCATTTTTGCACCCTCCTCCAATTAGCTGTGATAGGTCAGCGCAGAGATCAGTTCTCACGCTCTGTAGATTAACACCCATCAACTTTTATCATTTGCATATATCTTAAAAATGATCAAAGAATCTTCTTAGGCAAATCGTTAATCTGAAGCTGAAAGAAGGTAGCACTGAGGAGAAAGCTTTAGGATCCGCCTGCATAGATCTCTTTGAATCTAGAGGATTTGCCATTAATGACGTTCTCATAGGAAGAGATTTATAATTGGGAATGCTTTTACAGTGATAGCATACTTGGAGTGTTTTCACAGCAACCCTATGTCACACCTTGTCAAAGGTCTTTTAAATATCTAAGAATTGAACTTCACTATCAATCAGTGGAAGAAGTACGAATTCTTTAGACTGCAACGTTGAAGTTCAAAAGTTGGAGGTGACCGGAAGCTCGAAAAATGCCTTCCAAAATTGTAATAAAGAGCAGGAAAATTTCGTTGCAAGCTGAGAAATGGGTGAACTGCTATGTGATATCAGTCCTTATAAATGACAGTGGGTGCTGGACAATTAGTTTCTCACAGTTGGAGAGGTGACTTGAGGCAACAGATATGTGGTTCTACAGATGGCTGCTCAGAATATTATACATGGAACATGAGAGGAACGAGGGAGATTTTAGTAAAATCGGATCAAAAAGGAGACTTGTACTTAGAACACGAGAAGAGACA